GAAAAATGCTGCTTGAGAATTACTTATGAATTTGAGTTAAGGGGATATATTTCTTTTCTTTGTAAAGTTAGATGTGTGATGTTGACAAGTCTGTGTGTGTTAACAAATACAAAGCTTTAAACTTTTTGAATCCTAACATTCATGGTCATAAAAATAATGATGGGGGGAGGGATAAGCTCAGTGGTTTGAGCATTGGCCTGTTCTAAACCCAGGGTTGTGAGTTCAGTCCTTGAGGGAGCCACTTAGGTATCTGAGGCAAAATCAGTACTTGGTCCCGCTAGTGAAGGCAGGGTGCTGGACTCGATGACCTTTCAGGGTCCCTTCCAGTTGTAGGAGATTCTATAAAATTTCAGTGCCGGTTTTCATCAGCCCTTGAGAGCTTGAGTGTTCTTTGAAGCACAAACCATTCTCCTACTCATGGGTCTCCAGCAGGAGCCTTGTACTCACTCCCCGTCTCCAGCAACCTTGGCTACAACTTCTACTTGCTCTTTTTGGTTCCTTTCTGGCTCTTTATAGAGACCAGCTGTCCTCTTAGAGAGGCAATTAATGGGCTTTAAGGACTCAGTCTCCCCTGTGACTGGGCAATATTGTTTCTGGATTCAGCTGTAACTCTTTAGGTTTTTCTACTTTAAAATATTTGCCCCACAACTCATTTCCCTGAGTATGTTAGAAAGGACAAGAAAAATTCACAGTAATGTTGGTAATAGGCACGTTGTAAAAAAAACCAAGCACAGAAAAACTCTGTCTGTGGTTTAAGGCTGGTCAAAAAATGTCCACCTAGACATCTTTTTAATGGAAAACACAAACTTTCAAAGAAGCTGCCTGCTTTCCAGGAACATGTTCGACTTTTCAACCAAATGCCCTAAACTGAAATTTTTCAGGTAAACCCATACACTTTAGGTTTTTGTTTTGTTTTCTGCTGTTTAAAATGAAAATGTTATGTTAAGGCTCATTTTCCTCTTCACTTTAATGGTGTAACTGCAATGGGGCCAGGCTCTGGAGGTCCCAGGCTACGTCTACACTACCTGCCTGAATTGGCGGGTAAAAATCGATTTCTCGGGTATTGAATTATCGCGTCTCGTTGGGACATGACAATCGATCCCTGAATCGACGCTTGTACTCCACCAGCGCAGGTAGGTGTAAGCGTCGTCGACGGGGGAGCCGCGGAGGTCGATTTACTGCCGTCCTCACAGCGGGGTAGGTTGGCTCGGATACGTTGAATTCAGCTATGCTATTTGCGTAGCTGAATTTGCGTATCTTAAAACGACCCCCCTCCCCCCCGTAGTGAGGACATAGACTCAATGAGCTACAATCCCAGATGGGTCCCCAGAGGGCAGTTCCAGGAGGGCGGGGTGATTCCCTGCACAGTCTGGGCAGAGGCAGCATTGCCCTTTTCTCTCCCCTCATTCCAAAGGCTCGGCCTGGACCTGTATCACAAAGTTGTGTGAGCTGGGTACACGCTGGGAAAAGCCCTGAGTGGGGGTTCTCAGGCTGGTGCAGACAGAGGAGCTGAGCCCGGAGGTCTCCAGCCTGGCTCTCTCTCTCCTTCCCCTCTCCACCTAGTTCCTTGTGTACCCCGTTGCGGCTGGGCTGAATCTCGCCCCAGGGAGCCCAGCCGAGGGACACCCCATCTCTCTCTCACTCTCCCGGGGGTCTCTCCCGGAATCAGGGTCACCGTCCACAGATGGAAGAGGTGCCTGGCGGTTGCGGGGAGTCTCGCTTGCTCAAGTGGAGATGACTCCGTCCAAGGCAGAGTTGCGCCTGCCGACATTCCCCACTCCGGCGGGGTCTGTCTACCGGCTACCTCGTCCTTGGAGCACAGGGTCTCGCCTCTGCCCCACACGGAGGGAGCCCTCATTGTTCAGTGTATAACAGGGGGTCGCTTAGCCTCCTGCACAACACAAGCAAGAGCCTTATGTCCAGCAAGTATAAATGGGAGTGGTTCCCCCCGGGCTTTGTCTGTGGGTCTGGAAGCCCAGGAGGGTGCTGCCCCTCACTCCCAGTCTGGGGTGGCCGCATGGCAGGAGTCAGACTGCTGTCTAGCCCCGTCCCCAAGGGGCAGAGAGAGGGGGGGCACACAGCAAAGCTCCTGGCGTGTGTTTGGGAGCACAGGTCCCACAGACTCTGAAGACATTTCAATTTCTATTTTTTTTTTAGTTTTTTACACTTTTAAAAACTTTTTCTTACTGTTTAAAAAATATTATGTATTTTTCTTTTTTTAATTTTTGTCCTTTATTTTTATTGTATTTTTAGTTTTGTATTCTTTTGTTTTATTTTATCATACATATAATAAATACATATACATTTTTATACATTCATTATTAATTTATATATATTTTTTGTTTTAAAACAAACTTTAACTGAAATTGACCTGCAAGTTTTCATTTTAATTAACAATATTTTTCTGTCAGAAAAATGTTCCATCTTGAAAATTTTTAATCTGCTTTAATTTCCACTCATATCTGAATCAATGTGATTTACATAGGATCTGGATAGAGGGGTGAGGCACAGTGTCCTCAGGGTTAGGGTTTAAAGCAGGGGCCAGCAACCTGCAGCACACAAGGCCCATCAGGGTAATCCACTGGCGGGCCGCAAGACATTTTGTTTACGTTGACCATCCCCAGGCATGGCCTCCTGCAGCTCACAGTGGCCGCAGTTCGCTGTTCCCAGCCAATGGGAGCTGCGGGAAGCTGCGAGGTGCTGTGACTGGGGACGGGCAATGTAAACAAAATGTCTCGGGGCCTGCCAATGTATTACCCTGATGGGCCACGTGCTGAAGGTTGCCGACCCCTGGTTTAAAGGGAGAGGGATTAGGGGCCTGAAGTGGATGAATGGACTATAAGGTGGGTAGAAAGCAGGCTACATCATCGGGCTCAACAGGTAGTGATCAATGGCTCCATGTCTAAAGTTGGCAGCCGGTATCAAGTGGAGTGCCCCAAGGGTCGGTCCTGGGGCCGGTTAGTTCAATATCTTCATTAATGATCTAGGGGATGGCTTGGACTGCACCCTCAGCAAGTTTGCAGATGATACTAAACTGGGAGGAGTGGTAGAAGATACGCTGGAGGATAGGGATAGGATACAGAGGGACCTAGACAAATTAGAGGATTGGGCCAAAAGAAAACTGATGAGGTTCAACAAGGACAAGTGCAGAGTCCTGCACTTAGGATGGAAGAATCCCATGCACTGATACATACTAGGAAGGGACCGAATGGCTAGGCAGCAGTTCTGCAGAAAAGGACCTAGGCAGTTACAGTGGACGAGAAGCTGGATATGAGTCAACAGTGTGCCCTTGCTGTCAAAAAGGCTAATGGCATTTTTTTGGGCTGTATAAAGTAGGGACATTACCAGCAGATCGAGGGACATGATCATTCCCCTCTATTCGACATTGGTGAGACCTCATCTGCAGTACTGTGTCCAGTTTTGGGCCCTACACTAAATGAAGGATGTGGAAAAATTGGAAAGAGTCAAGCGGAGGGCAACAAAAAATATTAGGGGGCTGGACACATGACTTTTGAGGAGAGGCTGAGG